CTTTTTCTATGTCTAGAAGAGCAACTCCAGTTGAGTGGCCTTCAGATTTGTTTGAACGAATTAAATTGGTAACTCTTAAGAGTTGATGAGTAGTTGAATGCCCATGGCGAAATCCAAACTGCTCATCTGCAAAAATTGAGCTCGCATTGATGTGAAGCATCATTCTATTCAAAATTATCTTTTCAAAAAGTTTACTTATTGAAGAAAGCAAACTTATCGGACGGAAGCTAGAAGCTTCAGCTGAATTTTTATCCGGCTTCAAAATTGGAACAACTTTTGCATTTTTCCATTTATCAGGAAAGTATGCCAAATGGAAAAATCTGTTAAATAATTTTACCAAGAAAGACAAGGTACTCTCTGGGAGTTTTTTGATGAGCATATAGAAAATTTCATCATCACCTGGAGCTTTAATATTATGAAACTTTTTAGTTATAGACCTTACTTCGTCCACATCAGTCACCCAGGAATCATCAAAAATATTTTCCCGAGAGAAAATATTCAGATAATCCCGAGCAACCTGATTCTCAATAGGACTAGTAAGACCCAAATTTTGGGAACTCTCGAATTGCTTAGCAAGTAGATTTTTCCAAATTTGTGATCAAAATTTTACCATCTTCTTTAAGCGATGGAATAGGCTTTTGAGGTTTTTTTCAAAATATTTGTGAGTTTTCAAAAGGGTTTGGAACTTGGGTCTAATTTAGAAACATTATTTTCAAAAGATTTGTTCCTCAGGGTAGAGAATCGTTTTTTAATTTGTTTTTGCAAATCCCGCCAGATAACTTTCATGGCAGGATCGCGTGTTCTTTGATATTGTCGCCTACGGACATTTTTAAGACGGATCAAGAGCTGAAGATCGTCGTCTATTATAATTGAATCGAATTTAATTTCGAATTTTGGTACTGAGGCAGCTCTTGCTTCAACTATAGAAGTAGTCAGAGATTCAAGAGCATAATTAATTTCATCTTTGGTTTGCAAAGGAATGTTTGGATCGAAGTTATATTCCATAAATGTTCGATATTGCTCCCAATCAGCTCTATGGTAATCGAAAGTAGAGCTGTTGGGATTAGAAATTATTTCTTGGGATATTTCAAAAGTTACTGGAAGGTGATCCAGAACCGAAATCAGCATGAGTAACCAATTGGATACAAAGTCGACATGAATCAGTTAAGACCAAATCAGTTGAGGGATTTCTTGCAGAAGAAAAGCATGTTGGGCTGTTTGGATATTGAATAGTGTAATAACCTGCCGAACAATCATCAAACACAACTTTACCATTGGAATTGCTTTGAGCATTATTCCATGAGCGGTGTTTTGCATTAAAATCACCAACAATGTAGAATTTAGACCTATGACGGGTAAGTTTCTGAAGGTCACCCTTGAGAACAATCATTTGCTTGCCTACGCATTGGAATGGCAAATAGGCAGCAATAAACGTAAGTTGTTCAAATTTTGTTTCAACAGAAACTCCCAAAGTTTCAAAAACTTTGGTTTCAAATGAAGAAAGAATTTTATGTTTGATTCGCCTATGAACTATGATGGCAACGCCACCACAGGGTCCATCAAGACGAACATAAAGAAATAATTTGCGTCCTTCTTAACCTTAAGGTCAGGTTTAAGGAACGTTTCTGTTATAACGGCAATATGCACGTTATGAACTCTCAAAAAGTTAAATAGCTCGTCTTCATTATCTTTAAGAGGGGGCGACCTCGGCGTAGTGGTTAACATCCATACCTCTCACGCCAAAGTCACGAGTTCAAATCTCACCCTCGGACAACTCACGAATAACCCAAGAGTGTTAAAGTGACTATAATAAAAAAAAATCTTTAAGAGATCGAGCATTCCAATTTAAAATATTTAATGCTTTAAAATCCATTACTGAATTTTAAAGTCATGACAATATTGTTTGCAAATTTTACTCCAGTTTGAATAGCATCATGTCAATCATGTCAATTAATGATTTCTGTAAAAATTCCATTTTAGGGGCAGTAATGCTTCCTAAGTCAAAATTGTCAAAATTTCCGTTAGAATTACGTTGGTTAGTATTTTGATTTCTACCCGCTGCAATAGCAGCATAGGTAGGTCCATTAACTCGCTGAACATTGTTAGCAGCGAGGGGAGTAGGTATAGATGAAAAATTTGAAGCAGGGGTGATATTTGCACCTATGGGTAAGAATGTAGAATTTGTTCCTCGCTGACCGTTGTTAACAGCAGAGGAATTTGTACCTGTTCGGAAACGTGGAGCGTTTACTACCTGTAGCTTAGAACGAGATTGTAGGATCGCTTTGCGAGTCTTACATTCCCAAAAATTGGATTTGTGGTTTTCACTACAATTTGAACATTTAAATTTCTTAGGATCTTTCTTCACAGGACAGTCGTCCTTTGCGTGAGAGGAATCACCGCAAATCGTGCATTTAGCTGGCATGTCGCAATTTTTAGTTACGTGACCCCATCCCTGGCACTTACGGCACTGGGTGAGGTTTTGGAAATTTCCTTCAGTTTTCCTTGAAGTGTTCCCACTTCACTCGGACATGGAACATAAGGCTAGCTTTTTCTAAGGCCTTAAGGTTGTTCAGTTCACTAGACTTGAAGTGAACTAAATAAAAATCATTAGAAATCCCGCTTCACGAATCGCCAGGACGAGATTTCATTTTCATTTTGATTACTTGGAGTGACACAACTCCAAGTAATTTTGCCAGTTCATATTTGATCGGATGCAGTGATTCACCACTGGGCAGTCCTTTCATGACAACCTTGAACACACGTTCAGTTTTGGTGTCATAAGTAAAAAAATTGTGCTGCTTCTCAGTAAGATACTTGAGAAGACATTTAAATCCGTCCAAGGTTTCAGCCAATACACGGTATTCACCCCGATGTCCAATTTGTAGTGAAAACTTAACTTTCACGAAGTTCAAAAGTTCCATGCGAAGAGCATGGAAATCGGAAGTGGTTATCACCAGGCATGAAAAATCATTTGCATTCATTTCGTGCATTCATTTACATTCATTTGACCCTAACTTTTTTCATCAACAGAATTCCGCAAAATGATGTGTGGAGTTATTATAGGCTTTGTTATTAGCTACAACGTTTGTTAATAACTCAAATCCGTATCTATTATGCATGACGAACCAGAGCGAACAGAAGTCACTACTGTTTTTCAGTGAATGTATTTTACATTCACTGAAAAACAGTATCAAGTTCTGCCCGCTCTAGTTAGTGATGCATAAGAGATACAGATTTAAGTTATGAGCAAAAGTTGTAGCTAATAACAAAACCTACAAAAGCATTGTACATCATTTTGCGGACTGCTGTTGATGAAAAAAGTTAGAGGCAAATGAATGTAAATGAATGCATGAAATGAATGTAAATGAGTTTCCATGCCTGGTTATCACAATAGGGGAATCTTTTCCTTCTTGGCATTAAGCCGGGAAAGTTTACCAGAATTTTTCTTGGATGATGGATCATTCTCATCATCCGTGAGCACATCAAATTGATTACTCAAATTAATTTCATCAGAAAGGGGATCAAGAGTTTGCCCCTTTCTTGCGCTTAGGCGCCATGGTGGCAGTAAATTTTTATCAAAATCGACTGTAAAGCAGATTACTTTAAGAATCTGAAGGATCGAAGAGGAATTTTCCAAATCGATATCCAAGAAGGATTACCTCGGGTAGGGTCCAAACAAGGATCGAAGAGGAATAAGAGTTGAACAAGGTAGAAATTTTACAGGTTGTGCACTGAAAAGTGCTGTTTAAATTTGTTGTAGCTTTAGGTAGTAGTACGCTTCCTTCAGCAAAAAGCACATAGATCCGCACGGCAAGAGAGCACGATGCGGACGGCCAATCTTGGATCATTGCCTCTAGTGAACGGTTATGCGATGTTTATGGAAATCGGATAGGAAAAATAAAATCGATTCGTCAGTTGGCTGGGAACCGCTCTGATGTCAAGTTCCTTTGAAGTTGAAATTGAATTGAGTTGAGAGTTGTTCAACACTCTGATTATCCTCACGCTCACAAACTATAACGCGAGTAGATGAGAGTATCTTAAAAAAAAAGAATATCAGATCATCTCAATTTGTTATTAGTTTGATTGACATAAGAGTTAAAATATCGAAAATAATAGATGAAAACCTCTGGGATCATAACTGAATAATAACAAAACTAGTTGTTGAAATATCAAACCAACAGCATTTTTTTTTGAGCTGCAGAAGATCAAACCAATAGCAAAATGAGCTATTATACAACAATGAAAATTAGCAGCAAGCATCAGCATGGTTTTCAACTATACTCGAACTCTAGCAGAATGCGTAGGCCAGTATGCGTGCAGTATGAGGTTCGCATCCAAATGAGCTCAAACTATAAGAGAATTATCAGGACATGATTTGAAATAGATTTGAGCGATAGTTTGAACCACCCCTTATTTCGATTCGCCAAATTTATGGTTTCTTCTAGAGGCAAAGACTAGAACAATTCTGCCATCTCAATGCTTCAACCCTATTTAAAAATAGTCAATCGTTATATCAAATGTTTCCCAACGTTTATTTCGCTGCTCAACAAACAAGTAGGCCATTACCGTTGAACAGTTGAGATATTTTTTTAAACTTACCAACGTGACTCCCCTCCATAATCATAGGCATGTAACATAGTCATAGTTCTGCTATACTGTAATTGGAAAAACATAACTTTCTGCTTTGTTTTCATCCCACTCCTGCGATAAGCGAAAATACACCCACTGACCATTCGTTTCCGTTTATTTTACGTATGTCAGTTCACAAGAGTTGTCTCATTTTCATCCTGTTTCTGGCATAATCACACAGCTACAACAATACATAGGAGAAGGAGGACGGCCAACTTTACACACTCTGTCAACCACGAGCACCGGAAGATGTGTACTCTTCTCCAGTGAGATTGTAAATTACGATTGACCCGTTTCGACGGTTGGTGATTGCAACAATACACCCATTTCTGCTCCAATACCCCCTGCAGTTTAATTTTCAAACAACTCACCTGATTCCGTTTCTCCTTCAGCATATTGTAGTAAGCGTTATCGGCGATGGCAAAGATGTGCGGCGGCAGGATCGGCCCGATCCGTTGGTTCTGATACAGCCGCACATACTTGGGATTGTAGATGGGATGGAACTTGAACGGGTTGACCGCTATCAGGATACTCCCGACGTAGGTGTAGATGTGGCCAGCCTCAAAGCGCTGCCGCAGGTTTTCCAGCAGCGTCGCCTCATTGAGGTCTGTTGATGCGAGTAACAAAAAATACGACGTTATAAATTTACATCATTTGCACTGCGTAATTACGAACGTTCGGTCTCTTACCTGGCAATTGGCACAAATCAGGATATTCTCTATTTTCTTTCTGAAGTAGAAATGGTATAAAGTCTCTTAGTATCTGTGGATCCAGTCCGTAATTATCTAGCCAAGGAACATCGCTTTGTCTTTCACGTAAATAAAATCTGCAAAGGGGAAAGAGAAACCTGAATAAGTGCGATGGTATAGTTCCCTAGGGTTGAAAATAGCATTCTTTCTTCATGTGGGCGCCGACGCCCACCACAGTCACCACCTGCCCACTTTCAATTAGGCAAAGATAGAATTCCGAATTCTTACAATCTGTTTAACCTGTGATTCTATTTCGGTCTGCAAGACGCCAACATTGGAAGAAGGAGGAACGATGGCGGCGGGGTTAACGGTACTAAAACTGATTCCATCAGCAGCAGTACACTACAGTGCAGTGTGGCAGTGTGGTGTGGTGTGATGATGATGATGATGGTTCGACACATGAATGAAAGTATAGTTTGCTGGATCGAATCGCGTGCACGCGTTCGGCGGTAATGGGGAATATGTTTATTTTAGTTTTGTGGATGGCAGCAGGAATTTACGACCACCACCGCCACCGAGACCCGGGGGCGCTCTGAGCGAAATCCGTTTATGATGTCCGGGATGTTGCGGTCATTAAGTGGGAATTTGAATTTCCCGGCAAATTTGTTCTATGGAAAATCGATAAGCGATGCATTTGCGGCTTTCCAACCGAATGATTGGCAATTAAGGTCGAAGAAAGGGCGTTGTTGTTTACGCAAATATTTTAATGCAAATTTGAAAATATTTGCAATGATTTGGGATAAATTGTTACCTGTGGCAGATCTGGAAATTGAATCGGATCTTAGAGGGGTTCAGGTTCAAGCTGTTCCGCACGAGAAATATGTTTGATCTTAAAAATTTCTCATAAGCTAAATCGTCTGAATATGATTCTTACAAGAAATGTAGTTGCAGCCTGAATGAATATAATAATTGAGGATTTCCAGCCCACAATGCTAAAAATTATGCTACTTTTGAACTGACCCTTTCCGATTTAAACGAAACTTTGCACATATGTTGTTTGCAGCCCAAGGTTGCACTTTTCGTTAAAATATAAAAAAAAATGTTTTTACAAAAAAAAAACCATTGCTTTAAAACATTTATTTTCAGTAAGCAAAAACAGTTGCTATTAGGCCACCGAGCCTCTTACATCACAGCGAACAACTTCGACCGACGATAGCATAGTAGTAAGCCAAATAGCACAAATCAAATGACTTTCAGACAGATTTTTTCACAAAAAAATATTGAAATTTAAAAAAATTGATCATCAAGAATGGTTTTCTGTGTAAAATGCAGGCTTGCCTAAACTCCTTGAACTCAGATTATGCCGTATAGATGCTAATTCATCGTGAGCTAGTTCATCTATCTCTCACATATAAAGAGCAATAATATCAAATCCAAAGAGCGCAAAAGAGCATCAATATGAGCTCAAGCTTGACTTCCACAAACACGCATCACGATGAGTGATGCGGGGTTCGTTCTTGAGCGAGGCGTAATTTACATCGGCTCTGCTCACCAAACAACATTTTGAACTTCGGAATGGACTCGGTGAAAGCGTAAATATAGAGCTTCGTTATGCATGTTTCTGTATCCGGATCCAGAACGATAAGTGTTCCATTGTGGAGCCACTATGCTTCTTGATAGCTACAGTACGTCTACGTTATCGCAAATCAATCATGTAGTCAACGAGAACAACCGCAGCTTGGACCTTTGTTTCGTCAGTTCTCAGGATGTCGCTCCATTCATCTCCTGTGCACCCGCTCCACTAGTGAAACCAACTCCACATCACCTTCCTTTGATTGTGACTGTGGAGAGCAAGCTACTTCACGATTTCGACGAAACGCCCGTTGCTGTTTCCTACGATTTTCGAAAAGCAGATTACCGCAGCATCTCAGACTTGCTCTCCAGCTTGGACTGGGAAAACATCCTCGATCATCACGATGTTGAGGTAGCCGCAAGAACGTTTTCACACATTTTGGCGTATACTATCGACAGACATGTCCCGAAGATAAGTCACCAGAAAACAGCTCATCATCCATGGCAGACTAAGGAGCTCCGTAGACTGAAATCTACTAAAAGAGCTGCACTACGCAAATACACCAAGTACCGTACGTTCCAATTAAAATGCTATTATGTTCGACTAAACCATCAATTCAAACGGATCAGTCGCCAAAGCTATTCGCGATATCAGCAGGGAATTCAGCGCAGGATGAGATCACATCCGAAATCCTTTTGGAACTATGTAAACGAGCAGCGAAAGGAATCCGGTCTTCCATCGTCCATGGTGTTCAATGGCGAAGTGGGATCCACAAATCAGGAGATTTGCCGACTCTTCTCTCTCAAATTTGCCGATGTTTTCACTGACGAGAGCCTATCTGACGAATATGTTAACCTCGCAGCAAGCAACGTTCCAATGCACGGCGATACATTAAATGGCATCGACATCAACGATATCACTATTTTAAGAGCTGCTTCCAAGCTGAAATCTTCTTGCAACCCTGGACCCGATGGAATCCCGTCCGTTTTTCTCAAGAAGAATATCGATAGTCTATTGACTCCGCTCTGTCACGTGTTCCAATTATCGCTTCGCTGTGGTATTTTTTCCTTCTTGCTGGAAGTTTGCTCACATGTTTCCTGTTCACAAAAAAGGAAACAAACGAGATGTCAACAACTATCGTGGAATTACCTCACTGAGCACCGTATCGAAGCTTTTTGAACTAGTCATAATGGAACCGCTACTTTCTCACTGCAAGCATGTTTTGAGTGATGATCAGCATGGCTTCATGTCAGGTCGTTCCACCACCACCAATCTGCTATGCCTCACATCTTATGTAACTGATAGCATGGTTGACCGAGCTCAAACGGATGTGATTTATACCGATCTGTCAGCAGCGTTCGATAAGCTAAACCATGCTATTGCTATTGCTAAACTAGACAGACTTGGGATCAATGGTAACCTATTACAATGGTTTCGATCGTATGTAACCGGTCGCCAACTGATGGTTGCCATAGGCGATTACCGATCTGATACTTATCCTGCTACATCGGGGATACCCCAGGGTAGCCACCTTGGACCTTTGATCTTCCTGCTCTACTTCAACGATGTGAATTATGTGCTTGACGGACCTCGACTATCGTATGCTGACGATCTAAAAATCTACCTTCGGATTCGTTCCATTGCCGACTGTCACTTTCTTCAACGCCAGCTTCATGCTTTTGCTGACTGGTGCACCTTGAACCGAATGGAAGTTAACCCGGCGAAATGCTCAGTAATCTCCTTTTCTCGGATAAAAGAACCAATCATCTTCAACTACAACCTATTGGGTTCAGCAATTGAACGAGTGAGCCACGTGAAGGATTTGGGAGTCATTTTGGATTCGCAACTCACATATATGCAGCATATTTCGTATGTCGTTGATAAAGTTTTCAGAACACTAGGCTTTATCTTTAGAATAACCAAAAACTTTACTGATATTTATTGCCTGAAGTCATTGTACTCCTCACTGGTCCGATCAGTCCTTGAATATTGCTCAGCAGTTTGGAATCCAAGCTACAACAATTGTGTTGAAAGAGTCGAATCAGTCCAGCACCGATTCTTACGCTTCGCCCTTCGGCGATTGCCTTGGAGAGATCCTTTCCGTTTGCCTAGCTATGAAAGCCGATGTCAGCTGATTGGTTTGGAAACTCTTTCGACCCGAAGAGACGCTGCAAGGGCTTTACTTGCTGCCGATACATTGCAAGGGAGAATCGATTGTCCTACTATCCTCGAAAAAATCGATTTGAATGTACGACCACGTGCACTAAGAAACAGTCTTATGCTGAGACTTCCCTTTCGTCGCACGAACTACGGAATGAATGGAGCAATAAACGGACTGCAGCGAGTTTTCAACAGAGTTGCCTCAGTGTTCGATTTTCACGTACCACGTCAGACGCTTCGCCGTAGTTTCACCTCGATATTTTCGGGCACATGTAACCGTGAATAGCAGTGTAATGTTTAAGTTTTAAGCACAGACAATCATGTTGTTTTTTGTATTACTTAACATCATTGGGACTTATTGAAGCCTGTTGATGGAATCAATTAAATAAATAAATAAATAAATAAATGCATTCGGAGAGAGCACGCACGGCCTTTGATTGATGCAGGGTGGTCAGTGAATTTTCATTTTAAAATTCCCTGTTTTTTTTCCTGGTTCAAATCTCAAAATATTCCCGGTTTCAATAATTAGTAAAAAATAATGATTGCAATATTACGTTATTTTCGAGGTAGGGTAGAGAGCTATTTCGGCCTAATAGCCCATGCTGGGCCTATCGAGCAGAAAACATCAAATAAAATCATGATTTCGGCGTTAACAAGTCAATTATGCGTCTGGTACGATACTTCTGTTCAAAATCTACCGAACGAAGTCAATAAGAACGTGTGATATGAATGTTTGCACCCATTATTTTCAAAAACATCCGATAGACCGAAGTGAATTCAATTGCGTTTCAATGCGTTTAGGCCAAGTTTGGGGTCAAGAAGCAGTGTTAGTTTTTTAACAGTATCTCAACAATGTGTTACTCTTTATCAAATTTTACGATGCGTACGGAAAGTTAAATAAATTTGGAAGGCATCTACAGTGAGAACATTCCATTTTGAGAAAAAAAAATCCGTTCGAAAAATAGAGGCAAAGGACGGGTTGTGCTTAGTAGACCCAAAATTAGATCTAATCGGTTCAAATCTCAAAATATTCTTGGTTTTTAATATTTAGAAAAAATAATGATTGCAATATCATGTTATTTTCGAGGTACTTAGAATCAATTCGAATAACTTTTTTAGACTCGAGTCCTCTCTTATGATTGTAAAGCGCTAGAATATACAAAGTAGCAGAGTCATGGATTTTTTAAGGTCACATAGCCGAACGCTATCGGGTTGGATGGTTCATTATACCGAATTTGAGAGGGAGAGAGAGAGATTATATTAAGAAATTGTTTTAAAAATCTCCTATCAAGAGCAATTTTTTTTTTAATTTTAATTTCTTTGAGGCTTTGACGTGTGTTTAGAGTCTTAGAATATTCCATTTATTAGTCATTTATTTTCAGATAGACTTATGGAAATCTATCC